TGGATTTGGGTCGACACAAATTGACTATTCGGTTCGGCGCGACGCTGGCTCGACGTATGAACCGGGCCTTAAAATACAGTACTGGACCCTCTTTTATCCTTGCGCGTGTGGAATGTACAATTGTCATATGACCCGTATTTCGGCCCTATACGCGCGCTCTGATGGTTTGAAACCTTTGAAAAATGGTCACGTGATGGGGGCCGTACGCCTTTTCGCAACAGGGCCGTACAAATCCGTATCTTGCCGGCTCGAAGTTCCGCGCGCTTTTATTTTTGTCTTAAAAAAAGGATGTCATATGATAAAATGCTTATTGACTGAGTTAGGTCGGGGCGTWCGGTGAGCTCGTTCCGTACGGCATAACCTCGAGGCAAATATTTTCACGTACGGCCCTCTCATTCAGTCAATAAGTACATATTATTTAATTCCAATGCATCGACGAAATTAATAGTCAGGCTAAAAGAGGGACTCAGTTTTCTTAATGTCATTTCCGAGCGGGCGCTAAACATTGTCTTTTTTGAAAAGCTTTACATAGGTAGTGGGAAAACAGTGTCCAGAAAATAATCTTACGCTTAGCGTTTTATATGTTTCTTTTTGAGCTGTGCTCCAAAGTTCGTCTTTATTAATACTTTTTATGCATTTCAGCTAAAAAAGGTTTCTGCTCGAAAGAGATATCATTTGGTTGATCGTTTCAAGCAAGTAGTGTCAGTTTATCGTCCCGAAGAACTTGTCTTTCTTGACGAATCGTTTTATGTGAGCATTATAGTRAAATTCAATTATACTTCAATTAATCAAGTACGAAGATATGTTGTCTTGTTTCTCGCGGAATACGCACATTACCGTTCTGAAACGTTTCTATGCGAGCAATATTGCATTAAAAAATATTTTCCATTCTCTATTAGAAATACGTGGGATTCTTTGGAGAGCAAGTAAAACGCTTTGAATCCCGAGCTGAAAGCGGAAAAAAGGAACACAAATAACAACACCTCTTCGATTGAAAGCCTTRCTTCTATATAATTCTCTGATAGAAACCAATTGTTTGCACATTTCAGACAATCAATGCAAGTGTTTTATGATATCATTTTATCCTATTTCAAGGATCGTTCTATATCGAGAAATTACGGTTGGCAGTTCAGTGGACACCCTGCATTTGGGCAATACATGCCCAACAAAGGTCCAAGAACCACTGTTATGGCTGCCATTTCCTACGAATCAGGTTTGCTGGCACTTGRGATGAACACAGACAACTTTGATGGAGCCCAATTTACGCACTTTTTAAGGAGAAATCTGGTTCCATCGCTCAGGCCATACGATGGAATTAATCCAAATTCAGTAGTAGTTATGGGTAAATGCAATTATTCTCATGATCTCATTATAACTTCAATGAACTGAATAATGCAATTTGCCTTGTCACAATGTCACGCAGATTTCTGGACTTTTAAAATTGCAGTTTACTGGAAATAAAGTCACATATGAAATTTTCGTCAAGACAGCATAATGATCAGTATCTTTCTTTTCAGACAACCACGCAGCTCACCATATACCACAAGTAGAGCAAATCATCAGAAACAGCGGTGCACATATTTTGTATCTGCCACCATATAGTCCAGAGCTGAATCCCATTGAAGGAATGTTTTCTCTGTCCAAATGCTACCTTCGAGAGGATGACGACTTATTTATGACTGCTCCTGTTTATGATATGCATAATTTGATTATTCAATCATTTCTTGATATCAGTCTTCAAAAACTTCAATATTTAT